CGGCCCCCGATTCTTTCGGGGAGAGTATGATTGCGATGTCACAATGCGCGGGGTAATTCCGATATTCACTTCTGTCTACTGAAACACAATGTATGTGTGTCCGGGACTGGGAGAGGCCTCCCGTGATGATGCCCTTCGCCAAGATCGAGCCGTAGAAGTCCCAGTTGGTCGCATGGAGGACGTACTCCGGCAACTCGGCATCCCCAAGGGGCCGCATGACCGCTTCATCACGTAGTCCTTTCTTGGAGTGACCTTGAACCGCCCTGATGTAGAGATCGGCACCGCGCCATTCGAGCGCGAAGCGTTGCTTGTCGTTCCAGTAGACCACCGAGCGGATGTAGTTGAGGGTTGCCCCCTTCTCCTTCATGATGGAGGTGCGCAAAAGGTCTGACACCTTGGTCCACCCTGCCTCGTCGAACGTCAAGCCGAAGTCTTCAGAGTCGTGCCTCAGAACAACTGACAGTCTTTTGGAGAGAGACTGATCTAGTTTCCAGTAGAGCTTCGTCGGCTCCCCAAGGGGGGCCGAATCGCGTGCTGGCGTGGGCAGAGAGGTGCCATCGCTGCTGGCGTAGGTCGTCTCCGTGTAGATGTTGTATCTCTCGACCCTGCGCGGGGAGTGGGGGATGCTGCCAGATTGATTTGGTGGCGTTTGCCCCGTAGGGTAGTCAACCTCCATCTCCACATAGGCATCAGATGAAGCCAGCTCGGCAGTCCGGGTTGCAGGAGCCGTGTTTCCCATGTGCTTGGAGGTCCTGTCCGTCATGTCATCATCTCTGCTGTCCTGGCTGGTTTGATCCTGAATTGCCACTCGGACAATTTGCTCATCATCCTTCAGTTGCTCGGCGGGGAAGTAGTAGTCGAATTTGATTGCCAGGTCTTGATGACTATCGAACCAATGGATTTGTTCATGCAGCGACATGGGGACTCCCTCAAACAGTGCGATAACGCTGTGCAGCATGCCGGCGAACTGGGTGAGGATGGGCTCGAAGTCCGCATCTTTTGACAGGCTCCATAGCCAGCATTCCACTGCCATGCCGAAGGTGGAGTGGTTCGCGTAATTGAGCTTGTCTCTGGAAATCAGGCACATGACAAACGCAAGGTTCCAATTGCCTGCGGCCGGGATGATCTTCAGGGACTCCGAGTGGTGGAAGTCGTCATGATGCTTGACGAAGTGCCCCATTTCGAAGAAAGTTTTGAACATGAGGGCGACCTTTTTCTTGCGCAGGACATTGATGTCATCTTCGATGATGGCCAGCAGGTTCCATTTCTCACGCACGGCTCTCAAGGATTGTGGGTCGGGCAGGGGGGACAAACTGCTTGAGGCCCTCGGAGACATGCTGGGCAGGGGCCGGAGGTACGGCTCCCTCTGTGGTAGGCCTCCTTTGCTCGCTCGAGCTGCTAGCCTGCTGTCTCTTCTTTGGCGATGCCGGTGGGTCTGGCGGTTTCTGCCGGAACCACCATTCTCCCTGCCACCAGATCTTGAGGTAGCCCTCGTCGTCTTCCGTCGCATGTACTTCGTGCCGGTCACTGGTGTCAAACTGGTAGTCCTCGTCTTCTTCGTCCTCCTCGTCGTAGTACCAGTCCTGATGTTGTTCCCGGGGCCGAGCGTCGGCTCCCCGCGCATTCTGCCAGTGTGGCTGTCGGCTCTCGCGATCGGCCGCTTGTCGCCAGGGCTGCTGATTCATCTCCTGAGCACGGGGGGCCGCAGTGTCGGCTCTCTCCCTTTGATTGCCAGGGGCATTGCGGCGGGCACTGCGGGCAGCCAGTTCATTGCGGGTGCGCCTCCTAGTGCCGTCGGGCCTGACCCGAGCTCGGGGATATCGACGCCACTTTTGATCTGACATGCTATCGGCAAAGACACCACACATGTATATGCTGATGCAATCAGGCGTGGCGTGCATCATGTTCCTGCAGCCCGGCAACCACTCTACAACACGGATCTCCATTCTCGCACTTAGAAACCCCGAGGTCCTCCCGCAGGTGCTTTGTGTAGGGCCGAATACGGCACCCGCTGCTCTTCGGTTTGAAGTGACCTGGGCAGATAGTCCGGGTTGGGGGCAGGTATGACATCTGCGAGTGTCAGGCAATGGGAGTACAGTCGGGTGCAGGGCCATGCATTCTGCTACACCGAGTTTCCCACTTCGGGTACACTGCACCTGGGATGCGAGCATGTTAAGGATTTGACTGGGTATCAGGGCTGGCGTTCCGTGCCGAACATAGCTAACTGCGACAGGGCACATATTCCACATATGTCTACGGTGAGGCCCTCGAAGAGTTAAGGAAGGCCTTCGGTAGATGCCTCTAACAAGCATCAGTTTCGGCCTGCAAGGTCTCACACTTAGCGAGAAGTTCTGCAGCCTTCTTTCGCCGCTCCCTAGGAGGTAGGCTTCGAATGTCTCCGAGAAGTCTGGTGATAAGGCCCGCACATGAACCTGTGGAAATTGCGTATGCCACAGCATTGCTCGATATGCCCACCTTGCGACCCTTAGGTTGTGGTGGCGGCTCTGAGTCTGTCGAGAGTGAGTCATCGGTGCCCGGTCCTTGTGCAGGGCTGGAGGATTGACCTGGGCCATCGGCTTCCCCAGGCCTGGGGCCGATTGTGGGACTGTCGGTCCTGTCCACTGGGAGCATGTTTGTCTCATGTGCGGAGCTCTCTGATTCGCTCCAGTCCAGGAGCCCTTGCGCGCTCCTAGGCACTCCATGGATTCTGTCACTTGAAGAGGAGCTAGCGAGCGGTGGTGATGAGAGCTGCAATGGGGGGCGCAAAGATGGAAGCTTCGGTTGTTTTTTGGGGGGGGTTGGGGCTTGGGGTCCTCTCTTATTTCGTGCGCTGGCTTTGGAGCTGGCTCCCCTAGGGGCCGTTGACTGCACGTAGTGGGATCTGGCCGACCAGTGCGCCTCATGGCACTGTCGTAGGCGGGGATGCATCTGCGGCAAAGGATGACTGTGAAAAGCAAGTGCAGAGCGAGATTCATGGTTTGTCTGAGATCAGGCTGATAAGAGTCTTTGCAAGTTGTTGCTCAAGTGCTACACACAACAACGGGAACCTGACAGAAATGATGGCCACCAGCTGAAGTCCCTGTTCTCTCGGTAGAACCTCAAGGATCGCTGGCACAAGTTCGTCTGCAGTATCCTGATTCCACAGCTGCCCTGCGAGGTCCAAGGCACTGTCAATGTCAATAGTGTCTTGACTATTCAGCAAGCAGTCTGCAACCAGTTCCAGAGCCACAACGCGAATCTGAGTAACAGGCAGAATGGCTTCTAATGGTGAGAAGAGTACAGAAATCACCGAAGGGGCACTACGGTCTGCTAGTGGGGGCCCGCTATACGAAACGCTGAGAGCCGAGACGCTTGATGGGTTTCAAAAAAAGTTTCATATGCTTTGAAGCAAGCTTGCACGGCTTAAAAAAAGCGGGGGGGTTGGGGGGGGCGCAGCCCCCCCCATTTGCAAACACAATGCTTGCATGATGGGTTTCAAAAAAAGTTTCATATGCTTTGAAGCAAGCTTGCACGGCTTAAAAAAAGCGGGGGGGTTGGGCGGGGCGCAGCCCCCCCCCATTTGCAAACACAATGCTTGCATGATGGGTTTCAAAAAAGTTTCAGATGCTTTGCAGCAAGCTTGCACGGCTTAAAAAAAGCGGGGGGGTTGGGGGGGGCGCAGCCCCCCCCATTTGCAAACACAATGCTTGCATGATGGGTTTCAATAAAAGTTTCATATGCTTTGAAGCAAGCTTGCACGGCTTAAAAAAAGCGAGGGGTTGGGGGGGGCGCAGCCCCCCCCCCCATTTGCAAACACAATGCCTGCATGATGGGTTTCAAAAAAAAGTTTCATATGCTTTGAAGCAAGCTTGCACGGCTTAAAAAAGCGGGGGGGTTGGGGGGGGCGCAGCCCCCCCCATTTGCAAACACAATGCCTGCATGATGGGTTTCAAAAAAAGTTTCATATGCTTTGAAGCAAGCTTGCACGGCTTAAAAAAAGCGGGGGGGTTGGGGGGGGCGCAGCCCCCCCATTTGCAAACACAATGCGTGCATGATGGGTTTCAAAAAAAGTTTCATATGCTTTGAAGCAAGCTTTGCACGGCTAAAAAAAGCGGGGGGGTTGGGGGGGCGCAGCCCCCCCCCATTTGCAAACACAAGCCTGCATGATGGGTTTCAAAAAAAAAGTTTCATATGCTTTGAAGCAAGCTTGCACGGCTTTAAAAAAGCGGGGGGGTTGGGGGGGGTTGGGGGGGGGGGGGGGGGGGGGGCAGCCCCCCCATTTGCAAACACAATGCTTGCATGATGGGTTTCAAAAAAAGCTTCATATGCTTTGAAGCAAGCTTGCACGGCTTAAAAAAAGCGGGGGGGTTGGGGGGGGCGCAGCCCCCCCCACTTTCTTTCTTTCGTTCTTCCTTTCTTTCTCTCTTTCGTTCTTTCTTCCTTGCTTTCTTTTTTTATTTCTTTCTTTCTTTCTTTCTTCTTTCTGTCTTTCTGCCTGCTTTTCTTTCGTTCTTTCGTTCTTTCTTTCTTTCTTTCTTTCTTTCTTTCTTTCTTTCTCTCTTTCTCTCGTTCTTTCTTTCTTTCTTGCTTTCTTTCTTTCTATGTTTCTCTCTTTCTTTCTTTCTTTATTTCTTTCTTTCTTTCTTTCTTTCTTTCTTTCTTTCTTTCTTTCTTTCTTTCTTTCTTTCTTTCTTTCTCTCTTGCTTTCTTTCTTTCTTGTCCTGCTTTCCTTCTTTCCTTCTTCTTTCTTTCTTTCTTTCTTTCTTTCTTTCTTTCTTTCTTTCTTTCTTTCTTTCTTTCTTTCTTTCTCTCTTTCTTTCTTTCTTTCTTTCTTTCCTTCTCTCTGGTTTGCTTCCTGTCTTGAGACTGGAGAACACGAGGACCCCAGAAAAAAAAAAGGGAAGCAAAAAAAAAAAAAGGGAAGCAAAAAATACGCCCTCCTCAATCAATATGGCCTTCCGATTCTGCACATATGATTACAAATGCGGCAGGAAACTACAAAACCAATACCACTACACCGCCTCATCGGCCACCTGGCGCGCGTAGCCCAAGATCTCGGGCTCTTTGGAGCCAAGACCTGCAGGTATCAGATGGTATCAGAGCATTGAGGGAAGGTGGCTTTGAGAGCCCAAGAATCGGCGACATGGCATGGAAGTGCGTGGAGTGTGTGTGTGCCCTGTAACTGAAAAGGGATGTCGACCCATTGCATCTCTGTAAGACTGGAAACAACTTGTTCAAACACCTCTCCAGTTTAAATATGGCTTTACAGGGAAATTTGTTGAGTCTCGGGGAAGCGATACATAAACAGCTTCGTTGGCCTGACAAGGGACAAGGTGGCCACGCCCCACTCACTGCTAGGAGCATCTTTTGCGATTGGAAGGTCACACACGCACACATGGCCACTTATGGCAGAACCTCTATGTTTGTGCGCAGACAGACAGCCAGCCAGCCAGGCAGGCAGGCAGACAGACACACACACACACACACAAACAAACACACACACACACACACACACACACACCTCTCCGCCGACCCATACGCGCATATTGTATTCATCAGCAAGGCCTCAATTCTGCAGAGCACCAAACCAGCCCAAACACGCACAGCGCCCACCCGACCATCCGCGCAGCACCCTAAGCTGTTGTCAAAGGCATCCTGGGGGCATCGTTTGACAAGCTGAACAAACCCCGAACGGTTTAGGCCATGCATAGACTTGCGAAATAGAGCGGATGACCACAGGAAAACAAGGAGCGAAGCAAACAAGCAGCTGAGCTGAACAAGGAAACGAAGGCGAGCACAGGACCGAAAGGACGCGCCCAGGATGTGCGGATGAGGGGTTGGGCTGAGGGGGGTGGGGGGGACCCAAAAACCCCAGCTGCACATCGTAGCGGCATCAAGGACCTCTCTTTTGGAGTCCCTCCCCTGTTGTGGGGTCTTCGAACGGCAGCACTGAGCACAGCACCTCGCCGATGCATGGCTCTCTCCTCAGCAGAGGGGTCTGCACCAACGGTTTACTGACCCATTCATGCTCTGGTGCTGATACGAGGCTGCGGACATTCTGTTTCTGCGACTTGTGTGCACGCAGACTCCCCAGACTGCAGGGCAGCAACACAATTTGACAGAATCACTCCTCGCGGCCCGGTCGAACGCCGGCACGGTGCGACTGAAGCTCCACCTGCTCCTGCGCCGGAGGCCCAAGTTGCGCAAATGCTGCACCACACCGGCCAAAGGACAGAGATGCCTGAAGTTCCGGAACCTCACAACCATGGCATTTCCTTCTCTGGCTACACTAAGGTCTTCTCAAAACAAGAACTTTTCGACCAAACAAATGCACAAACTCAACGACGCATTGGGATTGGGATGCTGGGATGGAACATCCAAGTTCGCTGATCACCAGTCTTGAAGCTTCGAGGTTGATGCAGATCCCAACTGACTGCGGGGATGCTCAAAAACCTGACGAACGGCCGCCTCGAAATCACTGCCATCCTGGCAATGTCGCGCCGGAGTCTCCAGAACAAGTTCGTTGAGCCTAAACCTTGTTCGACACCCGCGCCCCATGTCATCTTGGCATGCTCATGACGCCGCCTTTGTTCATGCAGCCCCTCTGTGTTCCAGCCCCAGTATCACCACTACTCGCACCTTGTCACCTTCAACAAACCGCCTTACGAAGTTGGGGCTGCCGGTTCTTTGCGAAGCCTTGAAACGACCTCTGACAAAGCGCACGGCAACTTCTGCAGCGCAAGCAAACATCCGTACGTTCTTTCTTCATCGGCACCTACGACGCTAGCTGTCAACATAGCAGCAGAGGCTGACAGGTTGTCAAGAAGTGATGACACTAGAACCTGGGACAGCCTAGGATGCCAGGAAAGCAACTCCCAACTCTCGACCATAACACTGCAACGTGGACTGTTCATCACCAGCTACATGCCCAATCGTGAGAGATAATGTTGACCTCATATTAATAAACCCCCTCCCCGTAATTGCACAATCCAAATCCCAGAACGTAATTATAACCCCCCACCCCCCACCCCACCCCACGTAATTGCACAACCCTTCCGGGCCAAAGCCGGTTGAAAAGCTGCCTTTTGCTTTGTTGCTGAAAACAATTGGGAGGGTCTGGAAAACGCATTCTTCCGCCTTTCCCCGCCTGGAAGCCAAATCCGTTTGGAAAGCGTGGAAACCGCTTTCCGCCTCCCCCATTCCCCAGGCGGGAATGCAAGCAAAATGCAATTGAAAAGGCCTGGAGAACGCAACCAACCGCCTCTCCCCGCCTACAAGCCAAATGCATGCCGCAAGCCAACTGCTGCCAGCAAAATGCATTCAGGAGGCCTGGAAAACGCAGCCCCCCCCGCCCCGCCAGCAAAATGCATTTTGGAAGTGTCCCGGAAAATACATTTCCCCCCCCCCCTCCCCACTCCCGCCTGCCAGCAAAATGCGTTTAAGGAGGCCAGGAAAACGCAGTCTTAAAATGCATGCCGCCTGCCCCCCCCCCCCCCCCCGCCCCCAAACTCTCGCCTGTCAGCAAATTGCATTTTATGAGGCCTGGAAAGCGCAGCCCCTGGCCTACTTTCCCCAACGACGCGGTTTGGGGACGTAAGGTCTGAACGTTGGGAGGCGCGGTCTGGGATGGCTAAGGTCCAGAGGATTTTAACAACGGAGCCCGCAATTACGGAGCCCGCGGCCTGTGACCATACCTTGCGGGGGGGGGGGGGAGGGGGGCGGGGGCATGTTAATATGAAGTGAACATTATGACGGTAACACCATCGCAAAAAGGGTGCCAAAAGTGGCCATTTCCAAAATACGGGCACCCCTACCATATCCCCAAACACTATCATCATGATTGTAGGAACCCCTAAAAATTTCAGAAGCCCCCCAAGTGGCAAACGGTGCAAGGCGGGGCCTTTGGCACGTGCTCGGAGCGCCTTCGCCCAACACAGCATTTCACCAACGCACTCACGCACTCATGGGCTTCGCGTGACATGATTGTGACTGTCATGTTCTATACTGCTCTGGTACAAAGTACGCTCACCCCGACTTGGCATGGACCATGGCTAAAGAACTGCATGGTACCGCATTCGATGAAGATCGCGCCACCACTTCACCTATCAAACCATTCGCGAAATCTTGCACCTGGAGGGCTGGGCCGTGCCGGCAGCACCTGCCAAGGGAATTGCTGGGGATTCGCATGGCCCCTGCCCCTAAATCCCCCCTAAAACCCTAAACCCTAAACCCGAAGCGCGGAACCATCCGGGGATGCGCATGACCCCTGAAAGCCCCCCCCTTAAAAACCCCTCAAACCTCCTAAGCCCTAAACCCTAAACGCCCTCCCTAGGTTGAAGCGCCAACCAAGGTGCTCGAACCTTTCGGACCGGCGGGCTCCTCGGATTCCTCGGAGTCCTCCGAAAGGGACTCCAGGGACTCCGCGTCCTGACAGGAAAAATCCCAAGCTGAGATTTCCACCTTAGCTTAGGGATTTTTCTGGGGTAGTAGGGTGTTGGACTCTCAGGGGATTTAGGGGATCATGGGCTATCAGAAGAATATCATATCTGGCAGTCACATCGGGCCATCCCTCACCAACGACAAAAAGCTAAAGACAGAGAAAGAGAGAAAGAGACAGAGAGAGAGAGAGAGCTAGATCTTTTCAACTAAGAAGTTTTGGGGTTCCTTCGTCAAGCCTTTCGGTTTTTCATAAGGGGCGAATGAAGTTCGAAGCATCTACGGTAGGTTCCGGCCGAGCTCCTCTGAGTCGTCGCTAAGCTCATCTTCATCTGGCATGGCCAGGGTCGGAAACGAGACAAAAGCTATCCTGGCCTAAAGGCCATAACAGAAATACCACTCCTCAACTCTTCTTCACACCGAACTTGCCCCAGAGGCATATGCTCCCGCCCAGTGTCAAAGTTCTGCGCGCTTTCGGGTAGACTCTCTGAGCACTGACGGCGTGGTCGCATGGTGGGCAAGCCCGCCCCCCTCCCTCCCCCCCCTCCCTCCCCCCCCTCCCTCCCTCCCCCCCCTCCCTCCGACACCTGCACTTCGAGGCGGAGGCTTGGAGGCGGCATCTTGAAAGATGCTTTCCTGGCCCAGATGTGAGTCAGTGTTGTTGGATGTTATGGCCTCTTCCTGGAATACACATCTATACATGTAGAGACGTCTATAGTATATACATGATATATATATATATATATATGTGTGCTTTTAATTTTTCATGTTTTACAGTCATGTTAGGGTTTTGGGGGGTTTAGGGGAGCCTAAACAGTTTGGATCTTGGATTTTGGTTTGCCAGCCCTTGAAACCTTCACTATGGGATCTTGGACCTGAGATGGCGGGGGGGGGGGGGAGGGGGACAGCACAAGACATGTATCTAGATTCGGTTGGTGTACACGACTTAAGTATATTGACCTGTATTTGGTCTCCCAATCGCAGTTGGGTCAAATAATCCTAATAAAATACGTGGGCTGAATTAATGAAACTATCTCTTAATCAAGAGGTGATTCAGCAACTTGCTTCTCAGAATCACGGGCCAGTTTGGTTCGCATGAGTTAGGGGGCGTTCTGTGCTCAAAAGACACATCTATAGTTGTCGAACAGAAGGGCCCTGATACCAATTTAGCGCTTTCCGTTCAGGCAGTTCTTTACACTACTGGAAGCCGGTATCAGACAAACTTTTTTGTGGTTGTGCGATGGTTTCAAGACGTGCGTGTCAGGGAGTGACCACAGATACATATCTCTATACATATATATATATATATATAATCTCGCTCTCTCTCTCTCTCTCTCTTGTGAGAGACAGAGAGACGGAGAGGCAGAGAGACCGAGAGACGGAGAGTGAAGAAAAGCATGATTACAATACATACCACGTAGAGATACATATGCAGTCTCAGAAGGGGTCAGGGACTTTATAGGAGTTCATCATAGATCATCCACTCTTGGCCTGCCGCCGGCCCATAGACTGCATCCAGGCCAGGAAGAGCTGCTGCTGCGAACTCCCAGCCCCCTGACAGCGGGGCTTAGGGTTTAGGGAAGAGGGTTTGGGGTTCTGGGTTCAGGGTTTAGTTTTTAGGGTTTAGGGTGTAGGGGCCATTAGTTGCCCGTGAGTCTGTTTTACGGTTGTGGAGTTTAGGCTTCAGACCTCAGGTACGCTTTGGCTTGGGGGAGCCCGGTTGGGCCTCTCCTTCAACAACTGGCGGTGTGAATCTTGCCTGTAGATCTGCAGCTGCACTGGGCCGCTTCCTCGAGCATTGCCATTGGCTTCTGGCTTCTGGCTAGTGTGTCCCATCCACATCAAGGATTCCTGAAGGGTCTCCATCTGAAAACATAATGACGCTCAGCAGCTGAAACTTCAGCCAGCGGGAAGCACCCCCGTATGTAGTGAGGCGCCGGACGCCTGCGCAATCTCACCCCGGCTTCAAGTCTTTGGAAGACGAGGCATGTGTAAAGTGTGTACTTGTAAGGGTTGGCATGTCCTGGCAGTCCAATCCTAGCGTCGTCTCCCCTGGGCCTTTTCTGCAGGCGAGAGGTCCATGTGCTGGCTGCTGGGTGTCTGCAACACTCGGCGCAACTCTGTTTCAGACAGCTCACGGATTTGGAGCTTTGGGCCCTCTTAAGGCCAGCATGTCGGATCACGCCGGGATGGGCTGGATGGAGGGCAGGAATTGCGCCGGCCGAGCTGTGCCTGGAAGGTCGGCTCACTCTGTTGCCTTCTAAAGAGCTGCAGTAACCAAGGGAATGGTGGATGAATAGCGGGCGTCTCCTAAAAAAGCCCACAAGATGCTCGAAGACGTGGGCCTATGCAGGGGTTTTGTGGCCTTCTTGGAGATTCTGGCCTCGGACTGGAGGCAGCACCATCAGCTGCAGGGCGCTGCTCTGCTGCTTCTGGGCCTCTTTGTAGAAGAGTACAGCTCTCTGTAGAAGAGAGAGCACATGTATATATATATATATATATATATATGTTTTTCGTATATATTTCTTTGTTTGTTTTTTATTGATACTATTTATTTATTGATTTACAAATAAGAATTCACTCCAAAAAGCAGAATCTTTGCCCTACATTCTGCCCTACGGTATCCCAGCATCTCTCTGATCATGTCCTACTCGTCGTCCTGCTTCGCCCCGGCGCCTTCAGCTGCCGCGGCAGCTCCTGCAAGCTGTGCGAACACAGCCCATGCAGAACTGAACCACAACACACACAGAGACACACACACACACACACACATACAAAGACAGACACAGACCCATTATTTGTTTATGTTTTGATATAGATTTATATGTACATGTATAGTCATGTGGTTACATCTTTACTCGTATTTCCAGATCGCACTCTGTTAACCAATACAAGCAGTCGTGAGCACATGCGATGCAACGCGTTGCCGAATCCCAGTCCAACGTCCGGTGGCTTCGCCTTTACAAACGGCAACAACAGCTTGGCCCACGAACCAAGAGTACAGTGTCTCAAGACAAGAGGATCGAGAATACAATGCAACGGCGCAATGCACATGCACGGAGAGCACACGTGCCCTTCTCATCTGCCTTCATGGCATTCAGCTTGCCATGAACCTTGTGCAGGAGCTGCCTTGCAACACAAGAGCAGCACGGGGGCTGCCTTGCAACACAAGAACAAGCTTGAGATAACACCCTTCAAACAATTTTGATTGTAGATGTTCATAGGCTTGCGACTGGGAACATCTGAGAACGGATGTCCATACATGGGCCGGACAGAACCTCTTCCAAAACCTACATCCGACACATCGGCCGGTGACCGGATGATGCATGCCCTAAACCATACTAGTAATACACATGCACCTGACCACATCGAGCTTTCCATCTACAAGTATGATTCTACGTGTGCTGACTGGCACTTACATTCCATCGTAGCCTTCGACCTGAGATGTCTACCATTCCTATTTGCACACTCTCCAAAGCCTGGACTCACTGATGAGGTCATTGATCTTGCGCATGGTCAGGCCACCAGCTGAGTGCAGATACAGAGCTTCCGGATGCTTCCAGCAAGGAGGTCATACAGCGCTGGTGCTCATCACTCTTCAGCTCTCATGGTGCAGTGATTCTGTGACGATAGACCACTCGCGAACGCAGGAACTGCCAGTCTGGAGGCCGCAAGAACCGGTAGCAAGCCTTTCGATCGAAGTCTACTGCGACTTAGCATCTGGCTGAACATTGGTACCATTCTGTTCTGGGCGTACATCTGGACAGCATCCGCGGTGTCATGAGGCACCCTGAGCAATGACGAGGGCTCGAGATGTTCTAGAAGGCGGAATGCAGTGGACGAGCGCGCCTGGCGCTGTCTGAGTCTTTGTCCAGAACTTTGTCTGTCTCATCTTCTATCTTGGCCCTTGGCTCGAAATAAGCTCAGCAACTGCTTTTGGCAATGCTCAAAAAACTACTCGTGGGCGCAAACAGAAAGCAGGGCACATGAGCGTTGCAGTACTGAGAGTTGCTTTAAGAACAACAAAGATGAGCCAGAATTACAGCCAAGCAAAATGGTAGTCAAGCCCACACATCAGATGAGCCTATCTCTAACCTTCTGACACGTGGCACTTCCTTCTTGACGGCCTTCTGAACCTTATGAAAAAATATTTACAAAGAGGGGTGCAGAGAGTTTGAGACAATGACTTGGGCGAGTGCAGCATCGGTTGCCTGCACCAAGCGCTGACAAGATGACTACAGGTACGGTACATCTCAGTACAGCTCCGGCCAGCGCACACCCAATGCCCAAAGCCAAATCGCGAGAACGGCGCGAAACCATCACCAGCACGCAGAAATCAAAGGTAAAGATTCTACATAACCCATACAACAGACTTCATAAAACCACACAGGCCTCATTCTCGGCATCATCGACAGTCTTGCCGGCCTCTTCTTCCTGAATGGACATCCACAGCATGAGCTTAGAACCATGGTTCAACCTGATCAGCGTACTCCGAAGGACAGAACGCAACTGGGCTCGCAACAAATGCCGAGAGCTCTGGCATCCCTCAGGCTGCAGAAATGAGATTAAACAGTATCTCACATCGATTATGGCTTGCCTCGCAGGAGGGGGATCGCATGTTAAACATTGCGTTCAACAAGACCAGAGATGCCAAAGCAGACACATCTGCGAAGACATCGGAAGGAAGGAAGGAAGGAAGGAAGACCGGCACGCGAGGGTACTCGCTGCCATACAACCACGTCCCCCTCCGCATCTCAGGTGTGCTCCGAAAACGTCATGGCACACCTCCGCGGAGGGTTCAAGTGGAGGAACTAGCTGGTTGCAGCCAAGAGACCTTTGCCCCAACCACGAACCCGGCAAACCAAACCGCAAACGCGCCCCCCCACAACCGAGCTCACACCCACACACACCCACACCCACGCCCACGCCCACACACACACACACAGACACACTCACACACACACACACACACACACAAGAAGGCCCCAAACAAAACAAAGCGACGGATGAGTGCCCGAGTGACCGCCGGCACTTGGCAGGCCTGGGAATAGCCCCCAGAACGCCGCCACTGAGACCGATAGCTGCACAAGAAGGCCCCAAAGAAAACAAACCCAAGAGGGAAGAAAAGAGCCCGAGTGACCGCCGGCACCTGGCAGGCCAGGGAGTAGCCGCCGGGGCGCAAAAATCGACCCCAAAGAGCCCCTGAGGCCGAAAGCTGCACAAGAAGACTCCAAAGAAAACAAACCCAAGAGGGTAGCCCGTATGGCAGGCAAAGCTGGGAGGAGCCAGGGCTGCGCACAACCAACAACTTGAACTTTATTGCTTTGTGTGGGCAGGGCACAGGCGTGCGGTGGCTACGGACGTGGACGCCCACCAAGCCATCATGAACAAAGGCAATGCGGGAGAACTGACAAGGTTTACCGGCAACCGGGAGAGTAACATTTTATTGATCAGGCGCAGGAGGCACAAGGATTGCCCTCAGAGGACTTGCACCATGCACAGGGTCACCGATCCGAAACACACGCAGGGCCGAGCGAGCCCTTGCTGGAGTACACCCCAAGAAGGCCTGTCGCCCAGGCAAAGGCCAAGGCTGACCCCCAGTAAGACCACCGAAAGCCAGGACGCAGCAGCGCCAGGTGAAAGCCGGCACAAACGCTGATTCCAAGGAAGGCAACGGAGGCCAGGGGACAGCGGTTAAGGACACAGAGACACGGGAACCAACGAAGACACTTGCCAGAGCTGGACCCCAAGGAGGACCACCGGAAACCAGGAAACAGCGGCACCCAGTGCCAAAGCCACCGGGGACGTGGCAGGTGCGAATGCTGATCCCAAGCAGGGCACCGGAAGTCAGGGAACTCAAGCTCTGCAAGCCATGCTAAAGACCCAAGCCCAGGGTAACGGCCGAATAAGGAGAACAGGGGGATAAAGCACTGCAAACCTGGAACGTGCTCAACCAGGGACACAAGCCTGAAGGCGGGGCGCGGGGCACTTCAGGCCCAGAAAACGGCCTCTAAATTTGTGAAAAGCAAACGGTGTACCTACGACTTCGTAAGCTGCCAACGCCATCCAAAGGACCTCGAACTTGTCTGGGCCAACAAGGATGATGTGCAAGTCATCCACGTAGACCACCTGGAGCTGCCAGAGTGGCCCGGATCCTGAGCACCTACCTGCCGACAGCCCCGAGTCAACCCACCCGGCGCTGCACCTGACCGCGGGGCCCAGGTAGGGCGGCGGCTACCAGGGCGAATGGCACGGAACTCTGTTCCCACCACGGTGTAAACCGGACTGCACAGGACGAGGATTGGACAGGAGGCACAAGGACTGCCCTCAGAGGAGCACAGGGTCACCGGTCCGGCGCCGAAACACACGCAGGGTCGAGGTGCCAGAAGGCAAAGGCCAAAGCTGAACCCCAAGGAACTCCACCGGAAGCCAGGATGCAGCAGCGCCAGGTGAGAGGCCAGCGAGGGTGTGGCCGGCACAAACGCTGACTCCAAGGAAGGCAACGGAGGCCAGGGAACAGCGGTTAAGGACACAGAGACACGGGAACCAACGAAGACACTTGCCAGAGCTGGACCCCAAGGAGGACCACCGGAAACCAGGAAACAGCGGCACCCAGTGCCAAAGCCACCAGGGACGTGGCAGGTGCGAATGCTGATCCCAAGCAGGGCACCGGAAGTCAGGGAACTCAAGCTCTGCAAGCCATGCTAAAGACCCAAGTTCAGGGTAACGGCCGAATACGGAGAACAGGGGGATATCAGGCCCCAGGAGCAACAGAAGCACGGCCTTGGAACAAGCCCAGACCCAGGGTAACGAGCCCGCAAAGGGGGTTAGGGGCACTATAGTCCCCAGAAGACAGCAACAAAGCACTGCAAACCTGGAACGAGCACAACCCAGGGATACAAGCCCGAAGAGGGGGTGTGGGGCACTACAGGCCCAGAAAACGGCAACTTGGAACGAGCCCACTCCCGGCTGGCGAGCCCTAAAAGGGGGATGGGGCACTTCAGGCCCAGAAGCCAGCAACAGAAGCGCTGCAAGAAGGAACAAGCCCAGACCCAGGGCTACGAGCCCGAAAAGGGCGAGTGGCCATCAGAAGCACTAGGAACAAGCCCAAACTCAGCATAACGAGCCCGAAAAGGCACAACGGCCCAAGGAGCAAACACCAACAGGGGTAAGGAGCGAACGCGGAGCAACAAGAAGGGACGAAGGACGAAGAAGGGGCAAAGCGGCACACCACGCAGGCAAGGCAAGAGGAGGCGAAAAGCGCAGCCACGAGTGCCATGCAAGGCAGAGGCAAGCAACAAAACAATGGCAAGTAGACACAGACAAGGCCACGGGGCAAACCGCGAGGCGCAGACAGGGAAAAGGGGGAGTGGCACTGTCACTTATGCGCTGCGGTGGAAGGGCGGGTGCAGGGAGCTCATCCAGGGTAAAACCCTGTTAGTGCCGCCTCCGGGGTCCCTGCACCGAGAGAAGGCCCTCCCACCGAACAGCGGCGTAACCCGGAGGTGCGAAGACATCGGCAATACGAAAACCGACATATGCAAATCTGCAAGCACATCTGCTCTATGCCACATTCTGATACAGTTGCCAGTCTGACGCCGTCGCCCGCCTGAGGTTCCAAGCCACATTCCGGTACTGTGCTGCCTGACATCTCCACATTCCGGCACAAACGGCGCCTTAAGCCGCTTGGTTTGCCCGCTAAGGCCACCTTCTGCCTTTTTGATGAAGTTCCAACACAGTGGCCCGCCCGATGCCTGCGTGGCCCGCTTGTCCAGCGAGCCACATTCTGCTGCAGTTGCCGTAGGCACGTTATCCCAGGTTTGTTTGTTGAGCACGCGTTCCGCTACCCTTGCCAACATTCTGTCCTGAGTCCGTACTGCTGCTCGCCGGCTGTCCTTCGTATTCGTCGGGACCTACTTGTGGTGTGGACGTTGATGCACATGGGCTTTGGCCACTTTCTTTGCCCGTGAAGACTCCACTTATCAGCTGGAGTTTTTGACACATGACACACCAGTTTTATACACACATGTGTACATGTATGTATACCACGGCATGTACAGGCGCCTAGCACGCAAAGGCATTGGCCACTCATGCCATTGCAGCTCGGCCACGTCTCCGAAGGGCCGGGTCAAATCCAAGGCCCAGGCCTGGCAGATGTGAGCGCTGCGGGCTCCGCACCCTCCCTAACCTACAGGGCCCCCTTAGCGCAAGAAAAGCCGTCATCGTGACTTCTTATAGTATCGTGTCTATCATGTTCTTCATGCTTCAGGCGTCACTGTGGCACTGTCCTGGAAGGTCCCTCTGATCGGTCCCGGCGGGCAACATCCGTGCCATGGCACCAGGTGCGCCCAGTGCTTGCAGGGGCTCTGCCAAGCCTGCCAGATTCGACAAGTCAGTGGCCGAGTTGATGTGTTTTGGGAGTTGCAGCTCGTTGTGGCTTCCCAATGGCACCTGCAGCTGGGAATCCAGGGGGTGGCTGCCAGGCGTTGTAGCCTGAATGTGGGTGAAAAGCTTAAAGATTTGTGCCAGTTCCAGGTCTGTACCCACATCCTCATCCTAGCCCTTGTGTAGCTCTACCGTGGCTCTACTTTTCTGAATCTAAGTTCATCCAGTATGCATTCGGCGCCGAGCCCCAGGTCGAAGCAAACACATGCAGGCGCGTGCGCATGCAAGCGTGCACTTGCGAGCGCGCTTCCGTGTGCGCTTCTGCACCTGTGCCTTCCTTCGCTGCCTTCCAAGCGTGACCACTACCGGGACCATTGGGATGCCGGTTACTGAAAACTACTGAATAACTGCAAACCGTCTTCTGCCGAAACTTGGAACTGATTTGACATGCAAGATATGCTGAGTCGTGTATACTGCTGCGCAATATACATGCCCTTGCCTGCAAAAGAAGGCAGCGACTGAAACCTGATGGCAACAGCAGCAGCCAGAAAGGAAACCTGCCTGAGCCCTCTCGGACTGAATGTGATGAGTCTCTCGGCTCCGGACGAACTGGCAGCGGCGCCGGGCATGGCTGCGAACGTTAAGGCAACACGCGGCAGCCTTGTCCGGTGTAGATCGAACCGACCGCCATCGCACACTTAAGCAGGAGGATGCGCGTCGGGAAAGCTATTTCTGGTGTACATCGGCTTCAGGCTTCCAGTCCGTGTGAGTACATTGCAAGAGGTGGGACCAATCACGGGCACTTGTTGCTCACCTTGAACCATCGCTTCGGTGAGAAGATTGCTTTCAACAAAACCCTGGGCCGTGGACAAGGCCAGGCTGGGGTTTGGAAGAGACGTGGCCGGTGCTGTGGGAACATAGGTCTTTTTCGGCTGTCTCTCAAAATTGTATGTGTATGTATATATATATATATATATTTATTTATTTATTTATTTATATTTATTTTCATTTATTAATATGTTTATTTATTCATCTAAGTTTGTCCCGAGAGAGCGCCTGCCATTCGGACGATCTCCTGGTACCACTGCCTTTCCACAGACGACACGTACTGGCGCTTCAGAACCTCGGCGCTGGGGCTGCCCACTCGAACCGACGAATTCCAAGATATTCCAAGCTGCTAAGGCCCAGAGAGGGAAGGGACAAAACAGCCCAGGAAAGGCTGTCGCAGCAAAATGCAAAGCGGAGCTCTTTTTCTTTTGTTTACGTCGGTTGTCCTCTCCTTTGCCCGTCGGCATTGCGGAGGTGGAGCATCTCCTGACACTGCAGCACTAGCAGATATGAGCTTAGGGCGCACTGGACTCGTGCCACGAGCAAACCTCGACATCAGCCTCTTCCGCCGAGGGGCAAGTTTCAAATGCAAGGAGAAGGGCTCCACCTCACCAGTCGTGGCCTCCAGCAAAGCACAGCAGTCAAGCCCATCCTCCAAATGCTCGCACTCACTTCGTACAGGTGAATCCTCATCGTGTGTCGATCAAACTGCTGTTGTGTGCCCACATATGCCCCAAATCTGCCCACATCTGCCCAGGTGACCTCGGTGGTGTCCACCTGCTCTGGGTGTTGCCTAAGGTCGGTGCTCGCGGCGGCCAAAAGCTACTGATACCTCACCCCTATGACATTCTGTGGAAACACGCTTTCTTCCGACGACCCAGAACCTAGATATTTTGGTTGCCTACCGCAACTTGATGTTAAACCATTGCTACAGCCTACAAGCTCTGCAAGCAGCGACATCCAATATCCAAGACACAGCGGATAAGACTTCATCGGCACCGTCATCCGCGGCTGCCTTGGATGCGGCTCCAGGCTGATGGGAAGACTCCCTTCTCGGGCATGTAGGCCGGGCCTACCCTCTTCCGCTCAATGCCATCCAGAAAGTGGGGTAAACCGGGTGTACAGTATCTGCCAAGCCCTGCAACAAACTGGCTGAAAGAACCGGGTCCTAAAGTTTTTTGAGAAGCCCCGAGCACGTCAAAGGACCAGTTAGCTGCGTCGTTGCCTACACATCTTGCCGCGGTGAGAAATCGTAATATGCTGTTGTTTCGCGTGCTGTGTACAGTAGCTTGAGGGGACCGAGTTGTCGGATCGCTTCCGCTGGGCTCGGCAGATCAATGTCCTAGACTGCCACCATCTACCGCGCCAAGCTTTGCCAAAGGTCTGGAGGATCTCGGCCAGGGGGGTCGACCACACTCCGAGGACCTTCGAGACCCAGGACGTTGAGGATTTATAGGGCTTAAAAGAAAAGCTTCTCTCCCTCTGCCTTCGGCTCACTCCGCTGGTCGACGTTGCAGACTTCAAGCCGGAGCACTTGGTCCTGCGGACCTCTGTACGAGACAGCTGAGAAAAAACACGTTCTGTGAACTCAGGGGCTGCCGTTTCTTGATTCACTTACACATACGCGTGCGAAGCCCCACAGAAACAAAACAAGTCGCCGAACAGCATCGCTCCCTCAACTGTCAACATATTGCTATGGTGTGAGGATGTGACAGCCATGTGACGGCCATGTGACAGCCATGTGACAGCCATGTGACAGCCATGTAGCCAATCCCGTCTCCAAGCGACTGGAAGAAACCAAGCGGAGTTGCTGGCGCCAGCAACATTCCAGGGCCCGAGTCACAGGAGCCTCTGCTGCGCCCCTTCGCCGGGCCCACGCCTCAAGTAGCAATTGCAGAGGCCCCCTAGAGACCTAGAGACGTAAGACCTCTGAGTGATAACCAAAAGGGATGCGTCGGCCCCCCAGCTCTGCTTCCGAATGCCCATCTGCCCCAAGGCACGCGGCGGGGAGCCTGGTTTTGGCGCATCTCGTCCATGACCTATGCTTGCGTGATGCGCGTGTGCTCTCGAAGATACTACAGGCAATGTGCAGCACAGAGCCCAAACGATGCCACCACGAAAGCTACTTCGAGCACGGGCACCTCGCCCAAGCGCTGCTCTGCCCAAACCTGGGATGCGCAACAACCGCCAACGGGCAAAATGGGCAGAAATACGGAATCACTCCGACTGTACTACACAGCACCTGCTTGTTTGACAAGGCACCGGCAGATCTAGGATGAGCGCAAGCGACTTGATGCAACCCGCTCGGTCTGAGTCCAGCCATTCCTGGGATCCAACCCTGAGCTACCGAGTAGCTACTGGCTGTGCCGATTGTGCCATGCTTGGCTTTGCCAGCACATTATTGGACTTCTGGACTCATGGACTCGACAACATTCCACAACACCCCTTGTCTGCCAAGGTTCAGCAAGTTCTCGGCCATCGGCCTAGGTTACCACAAGAGTGGGGTGGTGTCTGCCTTTTCCAGCTAAGATTCGCACGTGAGTCCGAGACCCTACCCAACAACCCTACCCCAAAACCCCCAAAATGCAAACCCTGAAGCCCCGAACCCTGAGCCTCGACACCAGAATCCGAAGATTTAACCTAACCCAACCCCCGGAACATGACCAAGAATGTCAGCTTGTTTGCTGATTCACCCGGAATCAGGTAAGTGCTTGTTGATTTGCCTTCTTTGTTTTCTGATTTGGGCCACCGCGTTTTCTGACACACGTGCGACTGATTTGGTGGTATGTTTTCCGAATCCGGCTTCGCCCGCCGCACTTCGTGTTGCGCGCTCAAAAACATTATAAGTACCGATGTTTTCGGGCAGCGAAGTATTGGAATGAAACGGAACGTTTTTGTTGCTACTTGCTTGCTCTTCTGCAACCCCAGATGCCTAATATCGTGCAGAAAATTGGGTGACGCTCGAAGTTCTTGAGAACAAGAACCGAGGAAAACGCTGTAACAACCGATATTTCCTTGCGGTGCAGCCGAGCCCAAAGCAGCCGAGCCCAAAGCAGTTTACTTACTTTGACCTCAGACCCTGAAGCCTCAACCTCGACCCTGAACCGTAAACCTTAAGCACGTGCCCAAAGCAGTCCAGACCTAAGCGGTTTGCCCTCATCGCACACCCCCACAAGGATCCTGAAGTCATGCAAACCCGAAAGATCTCGAAAGGAGCATTAGGGGTCACAGTCCTCCATGTCCTTAAGTCCCTGTCCTCCGCACTGTAGGTCTTCAATACCGGAGCCCCTCAACTTAACGAAGCACAAACCCTCGACCTTTAGTGACCTTCACCCACAACCCCTTTTCATGTCTAGACTTGTGACGGGCGTGAAAAAAAACACAGGCAACTTACAAGACAATACAAGAAAAACACAAAAACAAATACAAGAAAAATACAAGAAAAACACAAGGAAACATACAAGAAAATCACAAGAAAAATGCAAAAAAGTACAAAACCCAAGAGCAAATACAAGAAAAATACAGAGGCACGGAGGGCGGGGGGGGGGGGGGGTGGCTTGTATTTTTGTCGTGTTTTTTTTTTTTTTTCGTATTTTTCGCGTGTTTTTTTCGTGTTTTTCGTATTTTTCGTATTTTTTAAGTTTTTTTTATTTTTTTTCGTGTTTTTTCCGGTTTTTTCGTTTTATTCGTGTTTTTCGGGGGGGGGGGGGGGGGGGGGGGGGGGGGGGGGCGGGGGGGGGGGGGGGGCGGGGGGAGGGGGGGGGGGGCGGGGGGGGGGGGGGGGGGGAGGGCGGAGGCGGGGGGGGGGGGGGGGGTCTTGTGTTTTTGTCGTATTTTTCCGCATTTTTTCAGTGTTTTTTTTGTATTTTTTCGTGTTTTTTTTTCGTATTTTTTCCGTATTTTTCGTGTTTTTTTTTGTTTTTTCTTCGTGTTTTTCGTCCGGTGGGGCAGGCGGGGGGGGAGGGGGGGGGGGGGGGGGGGGGGGGGGGGGGGGGGGGGGGGGGGGGGGGGGGGGGGGGGGGGGGGGGCGGGGGAGGGGGGGGGGGCGGGGGGGGGGGGGGCGGGGGGGGGGGGGGGGCGGGGGGGGGGGGGGGGGGGGGGCGGGGGGGGGGGGGGGGGGGGGGGGGGGGGAGGGCGCGCGGGCCGGGGGGGTTCTTGTATTTAGTCGTATTTTTCCGTATGTTTCGCGTTGCTTTTTCCGTGTTTTTTTCGTGTTTTGTTGTATTTTGAAATATGCGAAAAATACGCGAAAAAAATCCAAAAAACACGAAAAAAAACACGGAAAAAATACGAAAAAAAAAAAAAAAACACACGGAAAAAAACGGAAAAAAAAAAATACGCGAGACGGAAAGAAACACGGAAAAAAAAAAAAAAAACACGACAAAAACACAAGCCCCCCCCCCCCCCCCCCCCCCCCCCCCCCCCCCCCCCCCCCCGCCCCCCCCCTTGCATTTTCTCGTATTGTTCTTGCATTTGTCTTGTGTTTTTCTTGTATTTTTTTGTGTATTTTTTGCATTTTTTTTTTTTTGCATTTTTTTGTATTTTTTTTGTATTCGTTGTTTTTGATCTTATTTCTCTTCATTCTTGTATTTTTCTTGTGTTTTTTTTTCATTCTGCTGGGGGGTCAATACTTCCGAGACGCGCTCCTCACAAGTCTAGACGATTCTTACCATCATGTCAAAATCTAAAGCCAAAACTCAAAAAAAAACATGAGCTGTAAAAACCGTAAGGATCCGTAAGGGCCCCGAAAGACGAAGCCATAAATCGGACGGTACCTTTGCCCGAAAGATTTAGAAGAGAACCCCAAATACTTGAGCTTGGCTGCGCAAACGAGAAATCTCAAAGATTCTACAACACCCTCCTCCCACACCCGCACGCTGCAGGGCCCCCGCCACGCCACCCCCCCCCCCCCCCCCCCTGAAGATCCTCAAAGCAGCCACAAAACAACCCCCCCCCCCCCACCCCCCCCCCGCCCCCGCCACTGCCTCCCCGCCCCCACCGCACACGTTGATTCGGGCCATGTTCACGCGACTGTGCATGCAAAATAGTGGGCACAATGACACAAGACTGACTCGATGCCACCCAGATGCTCCCAACAAGGCCCAGAGGTTACTGAGCCGATCTCGCCATCGAGCCTGAAGACAGATTCTCTTCTGGTCCATCTCTGGCACTGTTTTGCTGTTTCTGGCAGGCTTCTTGACAGAACACTTCGACCAGCTTCTGGCAGGCTCTTCTGGACACTGCAATACCCTCGTCGTGAACGCCTCGACCACCAAAAACTCTGAGGGCGTGAAGTGACTAACCAAGCAGGCGCCGTCTTGGCGCAAGTGGCCCCGTGGTGCTACCACTGTCATGCTGAGGATGGCCTCATTTAGGAGAACTTCTCGTGACCAAAAAGGTGGCACCTGTGGTCTGTGAATCAGCTGGTGTTCGGTGGCTCACTGGGGGGTTGTACCCCCTGCTCGTTTTCAACTGACTTGGCTTGTTGGGTTGCTGTTTCCTCTTTCTGGGCCGCATTCTCCATGCTACGCACCTCGACCTCGCTTGGGAGTCGCAGCAGCATGGTGCATTTTGCAACAACGCGGGCCAACATGTTCTGGGTGCCAAGTCCAAGCTTGTGACCGTATTGGGGGTGTTTGGAGGGACCTTCGGTGCCGAAGCCTCCGAGGCATGTCCCCCAATGGACCTTTCATGCCAAGCTGGCCACTGTGTGAATGCAAAGCTTTCTAGGGACCTTGACAGCCTTGACATGTGGAGTCAAGGCAGCCTAAACTTGTACCTTCGGGGAAGCGGGGGGGGCCTGATGCCAGCAACTTTCTGGAACTGAACCATCCCTGAAGGTGCTGATCTTGGATTTCCTTAGCAGCCTTAGCGCCCCATGAGGAGTGCTTTGGCTGCATCCATGCGCGTCTTCTGGTGAATTTTCTGGTCTGCCAGCTTCTTGAAATTTCCAGGCGGCACGGCGCCATCTTGTTGGCTTCCAGAAACCTGACACATTCTTGGGTTTGCCCGGTTCTCCGGCTTTGGCGGCTTTCTTGGTGGCTTCGGGTGAGTTGGAGGTCGCGGCCCTCCAATACTGCGTCGTGTAGAGTTGGCCACATCTTGCCTGAGGCCACAGTTATTGGCTCCACAGCGGCACTTGCCATGCCCACATCGATGTAGAGCCCTCCTCTGCAGCCTTTGCTGCAACATCAGACATACTCCCTGGGGGCCTGGGGGCCTGGGGGCTATGTCGGCAGGCTCGCACCTCCATGCACAAAGCTGACTCCTCCATCCCAGCCACTTGGAGTGTCGACACACAACCCTTGAGCCCAACTACTTGGGCCACCAACACAAGAGACACAACTCTCGAACTCGACGTTCAACTTGGCCTCCTCTGACTTCAAATAGCCCTGGAACGGCTTTGTCCCATTCGTTTCCTTCCGGGTGAACAGAACCAACTAGCAGGAAGCTGGCAGAAAGTGCAGCACAAGCACGACTAAAGCGCGTCCTCCTCTGAAGAGTCTGTGCCGACAGGCGAAGCGCCAGAAAAATTGCAGAGGAGAAGTCCTAGGCTTCAGACTCGGGCCATTTGAAACTTTTTCCCAACCCTTCATTCCAGTTATTCCCGCCAAGATGCGCTCAAGAATCCCAGTGGCTGCCTGAAATCCGAAGGCAGGCGAACGAGGGTCCAAGGTGCTCTTAACCTCCACTGTTGCGGCATCGAGAAACACCCAATCCAAGCGGCATGAAGCGGGAGAACATACGAAGCTCGGAGAGAGTAGCCTGCAGCGTCGTGCTTCTTTGCTAGGGGGATCGGACGGTATTCTCTTCACATTGCAACAGAGGGGTGCAAGACGTGACACAAGACATCTGCATAAGGAGCGAGCTTTGGATCGCTGGACGATCACCGCTGGCCGGGCATCCACCATGGGGCACAAGGAACCTCTCACAGGCGCTTGTTTTCCAAAGGTGTGCAGTGCGAGAAGTACCGAGGACACAAAGCCACGAACCCGAATGAGAACACAAGACACGTAGCTATGTCGCAAAGCCCTCGCAATTCGCTGTCGCTTTTGAGGCCTCGAGCCTCGACGACTTGTACTTCACATGTCACAAAAACGCTGTCAAAAAGTCACATGCATCCTCGTGAGTCCTGGTCACGTCACGTGTCTGCTTGCGTCGCACCTTTTCGAGTCGTGTTTTCCGGATCTTGCGCAACCCTTGCATCCCCGGCTTGTAAGCACTTTCGACGCAGAAACGAGGCCAGATTGGCCAAACGACCACTGCGAACGCTCCCGCTCCCCGGGCTGTTGCGGGCGCCTGCGTAGGTGTCGCGAATGCTCGCGGGCACTCGTTAACACTCGGGAAACGATTGTGGTCGACTGTTTCTCTACCGTTCTGCTGCTCGAGAAGAAGCTGCCCGACATGGAGGGATGTGCCATACGCTCGAAGCCGAAGGGCGCTCTTACCGCCAGGCGCCGGTCAGCAAAGGTGTCTGGGATGCGCCGGGCGCAGTCGACCTCAGCTTCAGCAAGAGACATGCGGAGAAGTCGAAGATCTTGCCCATTGTGGCCCCATGCGACCTCCCAAGACTCCCCACTAGCACTTTTCAGGGTTCCTGGTTTAAGGTTAAGGGTTGGGGACCCCTCGGAGCCCTCGGACGCCTCGGACCCCTCGAACCCCTAGGACCCTAAAACCCCCAGGACCCCGGCACCGACGAGTGAACCGGCAGCTCATTCGAGTTGCCGTTTCAAGCTAGGCCTCGATCACGAGCTTCTAACCCAGTATCCTGGCAAACTTCGGGGCCCCGAAGTTGCCAAGGCCACGGATGATTTCACTCCAGCTGTGGAAGGGGGCATTTTCTCAAAACAACGCGGGACGTGACTTGTCAAGAGCACAAAGAATCGGATGCCACATCCGCCACTTCACGACGGAGCCGTGCAAGTTTTTTGAACCAAGGCGTAAAATCTCCGGTCCAAGCTCTGCTGACCAGCGACAAACAAGACCTCTATGTGAGAGGGGTCTGGACACCAGATCACAACATCACAGGACATCTGGCGCATCAGGGTCTGCACTCTACAGAAACAACTGTGACGAAACGTATGTGACGAAACGTACACCTGTCCTCGCAGCTCCGCTGCCTGAACACCTGAGCCTAGCAACTACACAACCAAGATGTGTCACAAGCATGGGCGCTATAAAGTAGAAACGCATCTCCCCCGCACCTTTGCGTGGATCGGTACGTCTCAACCGCTTCTCCTCCTTCTCACGAACCTATCTACCCCCCCACCCCCGCTTCTGTATGCCTTCCCCACGTATGCCCTTCCACTCACCTCTCCTCCCCCACCATCACCCCTCATTTCCATATCAGGCTTTCAGGACTCATTCTATCCCCCTCCAGAATTCTACCTTGGGTGCCTCTCGCGCATCATGGTTTTTAAATGGCCTTGGCTGCTCAAAACAAAGGAGCGTGCTTTTGCCGTGTATGCAGACATTTATATGACCAGATTATAACTCGATTGTCTCCCTTTCTCTCCCTTGCTCTCGTGAAAGAACATTGGTGGCACCCCCTCTCACTTGAAGCTCTGAAATTGGGGGAGGGTCTGGGGTTACCGCCTGTAATTCTTTGTGTGTCTATCTTTCTTGGGTTACCCCACCCCCACTATTCACTACTCCATGTCGCGGAGGTAAATCTTCCACGCAGGTGCGACATGGCAAACTCACTCGCATTCAAGATAGCGACTAGCCCTGACAAGTCTAAACCCTGAAACCCTAAAACCTTAAAACTCTGAAAACCTTGCTTCAAAAACAACGAAAGCCCCAAGCCCTGAAGCCCTACAACCCCGAAACCCTGTCTGCCAAGCTGCAGTGATCATCACCAACGATCCCAGCTTTTCGTCAAAGGCGGCACGCTGCCGTGAAAGTGTGCAAAACGTAGCGGAGAGAAGGATCCTTGGTGCATTACCAATCATAGAATATGACTTCGATAACAAAGGCTGCCATAGGCTACCCGAACATACAATTCTTGGTGGGTGGCCCCAGAATCCCCTGCAACTCCCTTCTCTGGGCCTCAGTCTCCAGGCCCCAACCTTGAACCGTAGAGAACGCCAAGTGCCTAGCAGGCCAACCCACTCCCACCAAGAATGTCTTGAACATTTTTCTCAATTTTCGCGGACAGACCTGAACCATTCTGTTCATGATATGGGAAAGGCGCTAGTCATGCGGCAGCTGCAACATGGCCTGAGAGCAGCCACAACATTGCTTAAGCTCGAACTCCGGCCACAAAGAAGTTTTGCCCTTGAACGTTGGCACATTCTCTTGCAGGATGCTGTGGGCTTCCCGGGGTCGCCGCAGCCATGGCCGCGGAAGCCTGCAACACATGGCCGGGTTTCCGAAATTAGGGGTGCCTTATTGGGGTCCTGATTACATAAGGGAATGCTACTATTTGAATGTCTATATTCAGGGCCCCGTTTTTTCCATCCACATCTGTTTTGAAGCTCCGATGTGCTGTTGGCCTTGCCTGCAGGGCCCAGCTTGGCATGTGCTGATACTTGCTGCGCTCGACCAGCTCCCGCAGCGGCAGCGCCTCAACACAGCCGTAACCACCCCAAATCCGCATCGGGAGAGTACACATGATGAATCGCGACTGCTGCCATGGTCCCTAAACCAGGCACACCTGTGCCTGGCCGATTACACGCAGTCCTTCTTTGCCGAGTGCAAGATATACAGGAAAATCCCTCCCTGTTCTCACGCGCCAGGGCACAGCAATGATCCTGACGACAGTTGGTTCGCTCCCCTCCGCAACTACATGGAGGTCCATGTCCCTCGAACCTCCACTCCCTAAACCGCTCAATCACCATACCAGCCTTCACTTGCCCCGTCTGCCGATCGCTGCTGAAGGTGTGGCACTCATGGAGAGCGACCCTCAGCTCCTGACTCTGGAGGTCGATGCACAAAAGTTGAGCAGGCCGAAAGGAAAGGCTGTAAGTAAGGCTACGGCCGTACAACTCTTAAGGAAAGCTGAAACTTCTCAGCAAGCTTCTCCGTGGCTGTTTCTGTAGCCTGTTGTTCAAATTTTCAGCCGCAGCTTCTGCTGGCGCTTGATGGTGAAAGGATGGAAGCTCTCAAGATGTTTCCATCCCATCTGTGCCACTAGCTTTCGTGTAGCTTTTCTGCCTTTGCTGGCCTTTCATGGTAGCTAACCTGGAACGGTTAACAGCCCCAAAAGTCTCTGAAGCTTTCGGATCCTGGCTTGCGAAGGCATCCACCACAAAAGTGGGCTGCTCGTCCCAGATCAGGTCACCATCCTCACCTGAATACTCTCTGTGCGGATACCCACAAGAGATGAGAAGCAGTGGCTTCAATCCTTCAATTTTTCTAAAGAAGTTTCAGAACTGGTGGCAAAGCTAAGGGAAGTTAGGGAGACTTCATTGCCAACCCCTGGACTCCCTGCAGGCTGCAACCGTTGCCACAACCGTTCACTTGACTTACGAGTTTACCAGGGAGTGGGGGCGACCCCATGTAGTCGTAGCTATACTCACTCCCCACTCGCCCTCAACTCGCCGTGACTCGCCCTTCAGCAGCCGCAAATTCATCCGTTTATTACAGGCCAGATGCTGTGCGCAGCAGCGGATCTCCAGTTGGCTGCACCCAGAGATAGGCCTGAGAATGGCGAATTCTTTCATGCGGGGTTTGATCACGAAAGATGTTTGATGCGAGATTGTCACGACACGACAAATAGACGCTCGATCTAAACACTCTCTTGATACTCGATGCCTAAAAACTGCATGTCCGCCCGTGGGATTTGGCTACAAGAAAAAACGCTACAAAACCAGGGAGAGCGAGCACGATGAAGCTACTGGGGATCTTCAAAGCAAGAGCTAAGCCTTTGTATTTGCGCAGCTCTCAGCTCGGCACAACAACGGACAGCACGTTCTGCACCAAAGCTGTTTCTCTCCGACGCAACCTCATGGAGCAGCCAAAGAGCTCAAGTTCTGCCACGTTCTGCCACTTCGGGCCACTTCAAGCAAGCTAAACATCTACTTGACTGCTTGTTTACTTGTTTGATCATCGTGCGAGCCAGCAGCGCCACAAGCGCCGAGCACTCGACAGAAGAGCACGCCCTGTCGGAAGCTGAATGCCGTTTACCGAGTTGACAGAAAACGGGCACCCATAAACACCCCTCCCTCGATGCACCGGGCAACAAGTGGGCGGCACTCACAAACCCAAAAGGCTCAGTTGCCTCCATCCCGACTTCCCTTTCACGGAGCCATTTTGCAACAAACCCACAGTTCCCAGCAATGATAGGGTCCTCAAGATGGTTGAAGCTTTTCAGGGCTTTCAAAGTGGCTGAGCACACAACTACCAAGCGTGTGGGGCATTGCATTCCAAGAATGTTCCATTGGCGACACGTTACATGCGGTCGGACCCTCTCGCAACCAGACCTCTGACAGAAAAAGGTGCCACACACTAACTTGTCAGAAGAAGCACGCCACCAAATGCTAGAAAGGCCAGTGGACTTATTGGGATTTGGGATCTTCTCATATCTTTCTTGCTCATATCTTTCTGGATGCGGTACTGCGGCAAAAGCGCAGCAACATAAAAAGTCTGCAAGTCTGGAGGGGCGCCGAACATGACCAGACAAACTGGATGCAACCACCCGCTCCTCGTTTCCCAGCCAAAGTTAGTTGATAGAACAAGGGCCAGTTTGCTACGCGCGCAAGTTCAAGGGTCTTTGCGACATGGGCCGCTTCCGCCCAGTCCGGTTGCCGTGTCGGAGGCACACGCTATGATCACTTTGTCGCCCTGGCTCTGCTGCCCTTTCACATCAACAAGGCTGTAGAGCATAGAAGGCGACAAAGAGACCAAGATGAAAGGATAGGATACCTTGTCGCGATCCGCAGACATATCCCGACATAATATTTTGGGACAAATGATCGCTCCTCTGGGCGGGCATGCTGCAGTCGCTCCAGGGGCCACAGCGTCCCAAAAGGCAGAGGCAGGCGGTTCCTGAGTGCTCTTGCACCAGATGCAGTGACGCGGTGCTACGGAAACGTGGCATTTCAAGATGCCTATGCTGAGGGGAACGCATTCATTCTTGGCTAGCCTTTTGTGATTCGGCCTACCAGCGGGTGGTGCTGATGGTGGCATTATGGGGTTTTGCTCGCCTCACTTGCTAACAAGCTGCGGCAACACCAGGTCTCGCGCAATGGTGGACTCGACCAAAGAGATTAAGGCCTGGCGAGCCTCGGAGGAAGCATTGAGCTTCCAGGGTTTAGGGTTTCGGGATTGAGGCTTTCTCAGTGGTGCCAACATACCTAAATGCAACGAGCTCCTGGTGTTGCGCCAAGGGGGGCCTACTTGGGTACGCTGCACGTGCAGGGCCAAGCAAGAGCTTCTGAGCCAAGTTGCACGTTCCGGCAGGAAGGGCAGTGAACCGGCCGGGGTGCTCAGGCTCAGGTCCACTGCTGGCGGGTTCACGAAGGTGATGGTGAGGCCCTGGGTCAACCTCTTTGTCACAAGGGGCATCCCAGAAAAGAGCAGACAATCTTGACACAAACCAATCCACGACAAGATGCCACAAGTATCCTCACATAGCAGTGCATTCCAGTACACAGTGCGTGCATCACACCATGTCACACACGCTTCTTTTGGCATCACATCTGCCAAGCAACGGGAGGTGCGGGGTCAGGTGCCGAAAGGACAGAAACAGCGATCCTCGAAGAGAGAGCCGGTTGACCTTCAGCTTCAACGTTCATCCTAGTTCAAACATTCAAACAGCAAACCGATCAAACCGACGAGCCAAACAGAGCCTCAAGGGGGCCTCTCGAGGACAAACTCTGCCGAAGTCGGAGCCAAGAAACGCTGACCGACAGTCCGACCAGCCTTCCCAGCGTGAGGCTCAAGGTCAGGTCAACGTCCTCTGTCACTCCGGGGGAAAGCGAGAAATGAAAAAAACTGAAAATGGGCACGGGCAGGGCACAGGGAGCACCCCCCAAAGCGCCCCCCAAGCACCCAACAAAGGGCACGCTGCTCAGAGCTGTCACTGCTGGCACATGACTCGGAGGACGTGGTCCTTGCCACAGAACTCGACGTCGGCCACAAAAGTAATGGCCCGTTCAGTCGTGGTGGCTGGTACTGTTGACAGGGACAGCACTCTGGGAGGCTGCGGGCCAAGACAGATTCGGTCGAACTTCAAGGCGGCCGTAACGGTCTCTTGCAAAACTTGCTGGACTTCGCCCTTCATGATATCCTCCTCGAGCATCCCACGCAGGCTTGGCCAGAACTCGGCCAGAAGATAGTTCACAAAGGCTGGGTCCTGTGCCTCCTCGGAGACAGAGGGCTGCAGAAGCCGGGCGCTCAGCCGCCTCAGCCCCCCCACGAGCACACCGGCGCCGCGCAGGCGCGAGTCGCGTGAGTCGCGCAGGTCCAGGGGTCGGCCGGGCCGCCCAGGGCGCCCAGGGCGGAGATCACGGAGCCCTGCATAGCCTTCGGCCCATTCCGAGAGCGGTGGGCGCCTCCGCTGCTGGGGAAAGCTCGTGCAGGCCAGCGCCGCCAGAATGTTGACAGAGGCCACAGTGAGCCAGCGTGAGCGCGAGTCAAACATCCAGGTTGATGCGGCATCCGCACTGAAAGCACACAGGGCGAGAGCGAGAGCCACCGGTCTCCATGCAATCGGCTTCGCTGGCATGTGTCCCTGCGGCGTCGACCCCAGGCAGCAGCGCACGATGCATGCCAGTGCCTTGTTCAACACAGACTAACACAAAGAGATCAAGGATGACATGAGCACGAGGTGCTGAATCCAGATCCTAAATAGGTTCTGGTGCGGGGCCTGTGCAAAGGATGCGAACAGCAGGTGGAGCAACAAGCCGCGACCAACTGCTGAAGCCGTGAGGGTCCTGAAGCAGCGCCAACTTGCACAAAAGATATCTCCCAAAATTAGGAATACTCTTGTTTCGTGGTTTCTATACTAAGTGTTTTACTAGTTTGGGGTAATCCGGGGTACGCGTATTTCCGGAAATACTCAATAAAGCACGAACCACTGCACCCTGATGCCTTTTGCTTCGTACTCAACTGAGCAGTAGCCGCCAAGGACAGCAAAACGTATAGCGTGACTGACTAGATGCATTCCGGCGGCCAGGTGTGAAGAAGAATGGGATGGAGACTTGTTTGTTTTGTGGGCCTTTTTTGCCGGGGGGACGCGGAAGGCGTAATTGCCCCTCTGGAAGCCCCTGGCAACAAGCCCACGAACACCCTACCCAAGCTTCACTTGGAAACAAGCACACGAACACAGACAGCAACCTGCTGACAGTGCAAGCCTGTACTGTGAATCAAGGCAAACAAGGCTTCAGGGGTCCTCCTGTAAGCACTTACGCTGTGGGTTCAAGGTTTCGGGTTTACCGGTCGGCTGCTCTTCGGCAGCCTTTCCTCAACCCGCGGTCGTTTTCCGATTCTGCTGCGCGTGGTGCAGCGTTTGGACTGCCTACGTGCAGGTCCGGTGCCTTGGGCCTGCAAGGCTTGAAAAAAGGGGAAGGGCGGGCAAGGGGGGCACCCCCGCCCCCCTTCCCGCCATTTGCGAACACAATGCTCATATCACGGGTATAGGAGAGGATTCACAGAAGTCCTGAAGCAATGAAAAGCATAGAATGCCAAAAAAAAGCCATGAACGAGAAGCCAGAATCAAAAGCAAAAAGGCATGATATCAAAATCACAAGTGAGCAGCATGAAGATCTCTGATAATCCGAGGAAGTTAAGTTTCTCAAATACAAGGAGAACTGCATGAGCGCGATCGCGAGTATCCTCAATAAGATCCGTTCAACTTTTTCGTTTTATGGGTGCGTGGAACGGATGGCTAACCATGTTGCAGGCACTCACACATTCACGCGATCAGGAGCCGCCCATGCAGGGCATGGATGCCGCTGTAATTGCAATTACGGCCAGCAGCACAGTTGCACGATTGAAGCTTACCATAACTCGCAGTATCAACAGAATGCCTTACAGTCAGCTTGCTATTTGTGCCACTACCACTGCCGCATCGCTTGAGTCCTTTCTTGCTTCGGAGCAAAAACTCTACCCTAAACCCTAGACTCTAAACCCTGCACAACATGAAGCGAACGTCGCTCGGCCGAGGCTCCCATCGGTGAGGTGTGCCCACTCACCTGCGCCTTCTTCGCCCTCACCGGGCACGGGACCTCAGGGCAAGTCAGACCCGTACGTGTAGCAAATATTTCTTTTTACCAAGAATGCAAGTATAATAAATAAATAAATAAATAAATAAATAAATAAATAAATAAATAAATAAATATGTAAATAAATATGTGTATATACATATATGTATATAACACTGCGTGTTGCCGTGTCAGCAGTCTCCCCCCCCCCTCCCTCATGGTATCCTGACCCCCCCCCCCACCCGGCCCCACCCCTCCCCACCTAAACCCAAGACCCTCACGCAAAGCCTAAACCCTATGATTGAAAACCAAAACCCTAAGCCCTAAACCCAAAAACTCTGAAACCCTAAGCCCGGAAACCTGCAACCTAAACAAACCCTTAAAACCCTTTACAACCCTCCTCAATACCTTGAAAACCCTGAGCCCTGAAACCCTGAAACCCTCAAACCCTAAACCCGCAAAACCTTCGCCCTAAACCCTACAACCCTAAATCCTAAACCCCCGCCCCCACTGCTTTGGGCGGGGGGGAGGGGAGGGGCGAATCGCGCGCCTGGGTGGAGCAAGCTGAAGCCCACTCCAATGGCTACAAAGCTCCACCTCAAGCTCCGAGCTTCACCTAGGCCCGTTGACACGTGAGCCCACGAGGCCCCCGCCACACAAGGGTTGTCCGACTGTGTTCAAGGTTCCTCGCATGCCATGCCAAGGTAGGCTGCGGGCTCCAGTCTGCAGCATAGCTTGCCGCCGCAAGGAAGCCTGGAAGAGTAGCCAGTGACAGCCTCCAGCGTGAACATGAGTTTAAGCTGCGATGTGAACCATGAAAGCCGTCAAGCATGAGAGCTGCCATGCCACAGTAACACGATGGCCAGCTGTGGCGGGTCTCCCGTTGACAAGGTCAAAGCTTCCAGACCTGCAGATGTTGCAGTCTTCAGCGGAAGCCCGTGACTTAGTCACAACCATGCCTAGATTTGAGCTGTCAACCAGCTCACATCCTGTCGCAAATAATGGACATACAAGATCCTCGCCTAAGCATGGATGCATCGCTCCAGCTTGAGATGTGCTGCGAATCCCTCACTGTTCGCCGCTTGGCCTCCCAGGTGGCGCCCACCTACACCGAGGGCTGTCGCTGCCAGCAACGCGGCAAGGAACCAAGGCTCCTGCGAAAACGAGCCCGAACAGGCTAAAAGTGTCGGCATTCTCCACAAGCTATCCCAAGCGATGAAGAGCAAAAGAACTCCCCGCGAGGCTGTCGTTCAAACTTGGGCTCGCATCGTTAGCTCTGAATGATGCTCCAACTGCTCCAACTATGGCTTCTTGGCCTCACCGCTCGACAGAAGGCCTTCCTTTGGTGGCCAGTTTGACATGTCTGCAGCATGCTCTGTGCCTGAGCCTTCATTCGAGTCTACTTCAGGCAGACATAATCGACATTATCCCTTCCCCCTTATATTAAACGGGGGCGCCCCCCCCCCCCCCCCCCTCCCGCAATAAAAACTCGAAATGCGTTTTTACTATTAGGGGGATGTCTTTATCCAAATGTCATGGTTTTGGGTCCAAAAACTTTAAGGTCTAGGCTTCAGGGTTTGGAGGGTTTAAGTTCTTAGAGTTGGTTTGCAAACTGAGGGAAAGAGAGAGACCCACTCACGCAGCACAGCAAGGCTCAGACAAACAGAGATGTTGGTTGGTTTGAGGGTTTTGGGAGACCTCAACCCACCCCCTAGTTCGGAATAGGTTCTCAAAGGCAGGGTCGGTTTCGGGAGGATTTTCCGGAATGTGTGTTTTACAATTAGAGGCGTACTTCATAAAAGGGGGAAGGGATTACGTCACATTCTTTGAGAGACAGCGCGGACGTACCATATCCGAAAATATATATAAGATCTTATATGCCTTGACTGACAAGTAGGTTTTTTTCTCAAGGTGGCTCCTGAGCGGCGTGCAAAACTTGTTGGCCCATCCTCTTGCAATCTTGCAGCAGCGAGTCCTCGGGAGCCATGGCGCATCTGTAAAGGACCAACTCTGACGCTGAGTCTGCTCTGGAGGCCACATTCGCTCAATTCCATCCCTTCTCCCACCTTCTCAGCAAAAGATTCCTGCTTGGCCGCAATCTTTGGGCCTTCCAGAAACCTCAGCCAAGCTGCTCTGGAGTTGCCCAAAGCTTCACAGGCTTGAACAAACACATGAATACTCGCAGACTGGCCCCACTCTGCCTAAACGGCAGACCCCAAACCCCTGGAACTGACAGGGGCAAGCACATCCTGTGGACAGCGTCTTTCACTTTGTCATCCTCGCATCGTTCGCACCTGTGTGTCCCATTTTCTGCCGCTGCCCTGCTCGTTCCGGTTTTGCTGTATTTGGTTGGTGCTGTTGCAGGGCAGAGTGACCACACCCTTTGTCATGCTGACAAGATACCGAGATGCCGTAGGTACGGTTTGCCATGGTTTGCCGTTTGCTGCAAGCTGGAGTCTGCCGAATTTGAGGGCCAGCCCAAGGGCCCGAGCCCGAAACGACGGCACAAGATGCGCAAGACCCATTCGAGCTGTCACTGTTCTTTGCAAAAAAGCAGAAAAGACTCTGCGCGGCAATTCCTGAACAACTCCAGATCTTGCCAGGCGCAGCTGGAACAACAAATGCAGAGCCAGGACGAAAAAGGTGGCCGCCGGGAGCCTTGGGCAAAATTGCTGGCTGCAAAACTGCGGGCAAGGCTGCATGCGTGCATGTAAGATGGCCCGCAAAGCACCCTCCAGCATCTTGCTGCGCATGCTGCTGTGCATCTTGCTAGATTGTGGGCACTTCAGACCCCCGGAAGGCGAGGTGCATGGTAGGCCGAAGGGATGTTGCCAGTTGCAGACCCCACCTGGGCTAGAGCAGTCGAACCTTGCAGACCGAGTTCCAATAAAACAGCCAAATACCCGGTAGTACCCAAAGCGTGTAGATTCACGTTTCAAGCCGACTCCAGCGCACACAAGCAAAGAAAGCGTGTAAAAAGCGCGTAGAAAAGAATGAAAATACTCGCAGGGCCAGCTGCAGAGCCGCGGAGAGGCCCAGAGCGAGCTGGAATCCAAGCCAGCCTTTCGGGCTTTCGGGCTTTCGGGCTTTCGAGTGCCGAAGACAAGGGGCGTCTTGGTGCTTCTTTTTGTCCCTTCCGTCACTTGCTTTTCACTCTTGTCTTGACTTGGAAGGGCAAAGCGACAATTGAATGTCTCTGACACCACTTCGAAGCGATCCTGGCCGACGCACGGGCGCCGCTTCCACTGCTGAGGAGAGGACACCTGGGCTGAGAAGTGACTACTGATACGCACGAATGTGAACTGATACGTTAACTGATCCACGCAGCCACTCACATGTTTAAACCGAGCGTATACTCTGCGTGGTTCTGCTTCATTTCTACCACAAGGCGCATGAAAGACTGAAGCCCTTCTGAGGCGCTGCTGACAGCGATGCCTGCAGTGGCCCAGTCCAGCAGCAAAGAGTATGGCCACAGCCTGGCAAAAGAGCTCGCAAGACCCGCACGACGACGAAGCGGCTCTCGCTCCCACCAATCATGCCTCTTACGGAGAGTTTTTAGAGTCCTATATGCTCAGTGCGTGTGCTCACCCTGTTCGCCGCGGGCGACGCGCAAGGAGCACGGCTGCTGCCCCGGCCGCGAGCCGCCTCGCAGAAATTCGCAGAATCGCTCAAAATCGCTCAGAATCTCTCTCTCTCTCTCTCTCGCTCTTTTTCGTGGACGACGGTGGACTCTCCACAGGGCTCTCTGTGGTCTCCCCGAGATTGGGCTGGCGCACCGCGGGCGCAGTGGGAGGAAGGACGCAACGACGGCACCAAGGAAGCAGGCCATCAACCTCAGGCAGCAAAGAATGCGTGCATGCGTCTAGGCCTCAAAACGCATGCACACATATGTACACACGCACACACATTGACATGGGGACGAGCGAAAGGCTAAACAGTCCACGATCCTAACTCATGCCTTGGCATGAAACCCGACAGATACTGCTAACAGATACCAAGAATGCTGATGATGACGATGATCTAACAATGTCAAGATTGGCCGCGGGTATGTGCAAATGCCTTAAGGTTCCATATCAGCAAAGTGTGAGCCTCCTTGCTGGATGCTGACTCGCACTTTGTGGAGCATTCCTCTGCACTTTGTTGTGAGATGTTATCAGGCCGTATACACACACACACAAGAAGCATACTCACGCCCCTACAACTACGTGATGCGATGGGCGCTGCAGGGATCTGTTGTACTGATAGCGGTACCTGGGGGGTAGGAGCTCCAGGGATTGATGTTGGGTTCTTTTTTCTGCGGGATAATCAAGGTTGCGTTAAGGCCTGGTAAGCCCTCTGAGGGTAAGTGAGGGTAAGGAACAAAACAATATGCCCCACTGCCCCACAGCATGTCACACCAAAAGTGGATCCCGCATCATGATCAACATCCTACTGTCGAGAGAGCACAAGGCTACCCAGCTTGCTGGATTCAGCAAAGCAGAGCTGAAGGCAAGACACAATGTCGGAAGCCGCTCCGCTTCCCGTGGCCCTCGATACCAGTCGCCGTGGCAGAGGCAGAAACCCATGGTCAAAAAGGAGAGCCTCCGACAGCTGTGGAACATTGGGCAGAAACCCTTGCTAACCCAGCATCCGGGGATTGCTGCCTTGACTTGCACACGACAACACTGCTAATTGTGTTACAAATGCCCGTCAAGTAGGGTACACTATGTCTACGATCTGCCCCTCAAGCTATCAAGCGAGGATGGCCAGTCATGAATAATCCGTGGCGAGCGACAGCACGCTCAAGGGTTCCTCGCACGCATCAAAAGTGGCACAGCCAACGCATGTCCTTGCTCTACTACACAGGAACTTAACACATTCTTTGCACCTTGTGCTGGAAGCCCCATCCTGCAAAGCTTGCGATGCTCGAAGCGGTCACAAGCGTCCTTGCAGTGGATCAGTAACTGTGGGGCTCGCCACCCCAGCGCAGGGGGCGCCTTCACCGGCGCATCCAACTCCCACTCCGACAGGGCGTCCTCAGCTTGTGGGGCTTCACCAGAGATATGCTCTCGCCTTTGTTAAACCCACACAAACAGAACTCTCTTGCCTCCTTTCAATGGAAAATTCCCCAACGAACTGAAACAATGGGAGGACCATGGAGGACCTTTCGGTTGGTAGCACACATGAGCTCACACCGGCTGCACGGAGCAAGAACCGCAGCACAAGTCTCGTGATACACCGACGAGCACGATGAATTCCGTGAGAAAGAGCTGAGGATCGACGGCGCAGACGGCAAGGGTCCTAGAGTGATCAAAAAGGCGCCTCTGGCAAAACAAACCTCCCAAGAAGGCACTGCGGATGCAGCAGGTGCCTGGACGCGGCCGAAGGACCGGCGTCACGAACCTGGGACGAAGTCACAAAGGGTAAAGCTAAGGCAGCTAAGGGTAAAGCATGAACTTGAGTGTGGCACAAGGCATCTCACCAAGAGGCGTGGGCCCACTTCTTTGGCACGTTTCCAGCGTCGCCCGTTCGACGTCCTCTTGCAAGGCATCGAAAAACTCCTCCAGCGGCTGCTCCTGCAATCATCACACGGGGCATGTTCACGTCACTTCGCCGAGATCGTTCTGAAGAAAGATTGATTCTGCGTGCTCTGGCATGCCCACGAAACAAAGCAATGCCAGCAATGCCCTCTGACTTCCTGCCCGGGCGACCACAAGTTCCCCCAAACTCACATTCTGTAAGCCCAACTTGGCCAACACTAAAGCCCAACCCAACAAGCCCCGAATACAACCCCGTTCTCTTCGCGGCCCAATTCTGCATCTGGAGAGCCACTACTTCCCAGGCCAACTCCTGCAAGGGAAGGGGAACTTGGGGGAGGCTTAAGACTGCCATGGACGTGCCTATTCTCTCTTGAAGGACCCAATGTTTGCAAATCCTCCAATAGCACAAAGGTTCAATGCTATCTGCCCAAATCAGGAACGCTGTGGCCTGAGGGTGACTCCCCAAGGCCGTCCATGGCAACCAAATGGCTGCAACTGTGTTCAGCAACCCTCCAAAGTGCTTGTTGGGACTTAAGGGTGCTGTTTTCGGCACTTTGAAACCATTGAACTAATATGATCCTTTGTGCTGTGCCAGCTCGCTTCAGCAAAACAAAGTTTTCTTCTCACTTGGCTTATGCTTGTAAGCTCCTAGGCTCAAGCAACATGCCTTGAGCCACAGCAGTTGGCAAGAATCGAATCGATAAGTGCAATGAGCTTGCGATCACGGACAAGAACTACCACAAAGACGAACTCGCAAAAGCGTTGCGTGCAGCATTGTTGTCCTGTGCGATATTCTACGAGCCCTGCAGCCCTCGTTGATCAGACTTGTCAGCGAGGCTATGGAACCTTCCTTCCAAGTCCCGAGCCAGCGCCAGGTGGATCACCGTCACGCCCATGGAAACTCGTGTGACCTGGCGGCGTGGGATCAGGTCCATCGCAACTTTCCCTCGTGCGCATTCACAATACATGTTAGGTCAGAAGATGTTTCAGGTTGTTGTTCTTGCTGCAGTCATCGTGTTTTCGCTTCTGGTGTGGGTGTGGTAACCTATCTCATGTAAAGATGTTTCTTCAGCTTCGCCGACGAAATCCTGTAACATGCCATTCCGCCCATGCATGGCAAGTCCGTTGCGTCTTTGACAGTCACCATACCATAATTGGCACAATCGCTTATGGACACAGCAACGACAACCATCAGCAATGCAGGTTTAGCATCTGCGCAAGGGAGGGTTTCGGGTTTAGGGCTTAGTGTTTAGGGTTTAGGGTTTAGGGATATGATAGGAACTTTCCATGTGCCGCAAGGCTGCAGCTCCCATTTCTACGACAGTCTAGAAGATTCTTCAAGGATCTCCCCGAATCCACGCCTGATGGGCTTTCCCATAAAAGTAGCAGCGCATGTCACCCGTGACCATCGGATTTAGCGCGAAAATCTCAGCAGAGTTCTGTCTCAAATCGGTGCCACCACTTGCAAGAAGAATCTCACGGAGCGTGCCTTCGGGGCCTGAATGCCAGTGGCATCTAAAAAATACACGAGTGTCTTCCTGGCAGAGCTGTAGGATCTGTGGTGAACTTTCGGTACTTCACACGCTGTCACTCAAGTCTGTATCACACGAATCAACCGGATTCTCGCGTCAGTCAACATGCCTCAAACTATGCTGTAAACATGCCGCGGCTCAGGACCAGCAGGGGCATGTCGCTCAACAACGATAAGCAGCCGATTCGGGACAACACCTGACCCCGAAACACAACAAAATGCTGCACCAGGGGATGTTCCAAAACCGGTCTCCAAACAATTCATTCATATCTCCCTATCACGACTATGCTATATTCAACGTGACCAGATTCTGTGGCTTCATGCTGCGGCAAAAGAAGCACGAAAGGAAAGCTGCACCCCGGAAGCAGCATTGCAGACAAGACGGCGCAACACACTACTGCCCACTACTCTTCTTCAGACTCATGTGGCTACCCAATAGTGGTTGCATACTGCTTCTGCTTCGAAGGCAGATACACTATCGGATCTCCCCATCCCAATGACAAAAGAACAGACGAAACGTGCTGGGAAGAAACATAAGAAAGACTTTGAAAAGCCAGTCCGGCAACTCACAACGAACTGCCTCGTTCATCTTGCTCGGTGTTCCGAAGTGTATGTTGAACAAGTCGACGTCAAAGAGCCTAAGAGTTCCCCGAGCCCAGGAACACCCGACAACTACTGTCTCCGGTCTGCTAGAGTCAACATGTCGTCAGATGTCGTCAGCCACCCTGCCTGCAGGTGAAGAGAAAACACGCTTGTGGATTGGCATACCTGACCAACGGCTTGCACAGTGCCCTCAAGGGCCAGGAAGAACTTTGCGAGCACGGTGGTGGACTCTGGCCGAGGAGGCAGCATCAAGAGGAAGATGATGTGCAGACCCAGACCGTGCTTGTGATACCTAGGCTGCGCTACGTTCATGCCATTTTGCACTCATGCGGGCTGTCCACGCGTCAACACACAATGCCACACAAGCTACCTACTGTGCATTCAACACTATCTCGCCGGCTTCAGAAAACCTGGCTATGGCTCTATGTTTCTAAGGTTGATGCTCATACCACGGCATGGAGACCAGGAATTTGCGACGGAACCAGAAGTGCACGGCCCTTGGTGTTCCAATCCGAACAAAGTCGGCTCTCACGTCTCGTAACAAACGAAGCTATAGAGCAGACGGATGATGTCTGCAGAACGCACTACAAGTATCAACCAGAACAGGTCCAGATGAGAGAGACGCTTCACGTGCCAGGAATGCGGCAGGAAGTTAATCACGATCCCGCTTGCGAGACACACCAAGCCCACCTGGAGCGCAGAGGGGACAGAACCACAGAGCCTGACAGGCTCAAAACACTTCGGACCTCATAGACCCGCTGCTGAAAATCTCCCACGGGGTTCCTGCATCAACACATGTATTTGTTGAGTTCCCTTACTCCATGGTCCCCCCCCCTGCCCCCCCCCGCCCCTCATTCTTCTCTCCGCTTTGTACCTGTAATTCGTACTATCCAAGCCGCTGGTTCGTGTTTCCTCTCCCGTTTGGTGGTTTACTCACTCTTCATGCCTCTGAATTACTGGAATCACTGACAAAGGTGATTGAATGTCGCCAAAGGCAAACGCCTGTGCAAAACATCTTGACCTCATCGTCAGGACCTCGATGGTTGTTCCTGTGGAGTCGTGATGGCATCTGATGACACCCTGATGACACTTGCGTTTGAACGTCTGTTCCCTTCAGGTGCTCGTCTCTGCAGGTTGCCAAAAGCCCACCATCTCCTTGCTGGCCCACCAACATTAAAGAGGCTGATCTCCGACGCGTCGACGAAATGAGCGGTGCAAAACTGACGTAGAAATAAGTTGTAGCCAGAAAGTTGTATCATGACAATTACATATATATATATACATATATATATATATATATAGTTGGGAATCTGGCCCGCTTCCTCCTTCTCCTCTCCTCCTCTCCCGCCTCTTCCCCCATCCTACCCCCAATCCTAAACCGAACATCCGCTCGCCCACCCAACTCACAGAGTGGCCCTTTCTCCGCCCACATATGTATGTTTTATATATCTCAAGACAGTGACATGTCTTGGAGGTTTCCAGTTGAGAGCTCAGCTCAGTTTTTCTAATGGGAATTGGGTTTGGGCCCCCTCGACACGGGACGTTCTACTGGGAGACATGTCCCATGCAAAAAAACCACATATATAAAGTTTCATTTCTTGGGGTACACAGAAAGCAGTCCTGTATGTTCAATTGCTTCAATGGATGAGATCATGTTGTTCAGCTGCAAGCCATTTGGGTTCAAAATCAACGAACTGTACAATAGCCCAGAATAAACTATGCCATGATTATAACGTATCTTTGGCACAGCGGTTGTCCCAATAGCTGGTCCTTCATGCTCTTCCAGTATTCCTGGCTATTCGAACGGCAGAATGCTACCACTATGATTTGCTATATATGTATGTATGTATGTATGTATGTATATATATATATATCTACGTCAACAAATAAGTTGACTTGTTGACATTTTGAAAACGGAGCATGTGCTCCTCACAGACCAATCAACATCTTTGCACATTGCAGTATTGGCTGAAGAATCAACATCTCTGGCTGGGGCGTGGCGAGCTGTGCACCCAAACCATGAACAAGTGCTACAAGTTACAGACCCGGCAGAGGCTCTTCGAAACTCAACCGTCTACACGAATTCCGTGCCAAAAGCCGTGCGTCATTCTGCAAATCTGTATTAAATGAGCACACCTTGAACTGCAGTTGGTTCAAAACACGCGTCCAACATCAAAAATGGTAGGCGCATGGGGTGTGGGGGCATACATACACACATACATATATATATATATATATACATGTATATAATCGCAGTTCGAGGTTCGAGGTTCGAGGTTCGAGGTTCGCGGTTCGCGGTTCGCGGTTCGCCAGTGCCCCACCCATGGTATCCCCCCCCTCCCTCCCCTAAACCCTAGACCCTAACCGCTCAATCCTAAACCCTATAAACCAACCGTATTACGGGAGGGGGGTGGCGGGGCTAGGAGGACCGTAAACCGTAAACTCGAAACTTTCAACCCGAAACCTACGCACCGTGCGACAGCTTAGAACCCTAAACCCTAACACCACACCAAGGCGGGAGGAGGAAGGGTTGTACCAAGGGGAGGGGGAGGGCGTGATCATACGAATGAATATATATATATATATATACATATTCATTTGTTTATTTATCTATCTATATCTATATCTATATCTATATCTATATCTATATACACATTTATATATGTATATATGTTTTAATATGAATTGAATATGTCTATACGTACATATCGCTTTCCTGGGGTCGTGCTGTCTCGGCGGTGGGAGGGGGGGGGAGTAGATTTCAGCAGGCTTATGACTATGACAGCATGTTTTCTTGATATGTAACAACAGGCCTCCTCTCCGCGTCACTCGGTCACCCTCCTTCCCTCTCGGTGCTCTACAAGCAGGGGCAGAGCAGCAGCGTCTTTTTTGTCTCTATGGGCCTGTGATGGCCTCAAACACGTGTCCGGGCTTCACTCTGGTCGAGCTTTGCACTCGATGGAGAAGAGCAGGGCTGCCTCTGCTTGGAGACACAAGTAGTCGGCCACCCTGACGCAGAGGTCAATCTGTATGCCCCTCAGGTATGATCTCAGAGGCATCCAGCTGCTCAGATCCGAGTGAAACAACCTCGCGCCACACAACTGAGCTCCTGCTCTCCATCCTGTCCTATTCGAGTTATTCGAGATTGGAAAGACAAGAACAGACTGGAATGCAGAATCATCCCAGCAATGCTTCTCAACATTTCTACGTAGTCTACACGCGGGGTCCCGCATCCATGCCTTAGAGCCCAGACCCCCGGCAATCGACGGTCCGGATGTGGCCTGACCCTTACTGCACTTACTGCACTTCTTAAAACGGCTCTACAAGTACCATGAACTCATGGATTCAGAATGGTGTTTTGAGTTGAGTCCTCGTTCAATGTCAAATTCTTCGAAGCCTTTGCGACGTACGAGAGTGCTGGCTGCACGGTTATCTGCTTGTTCAGAGCCATGCAACCACGTGAGACAGATGCTGCTTGAAGAGAAAGAGATGTTGTGCATTACCTGCCGGCCTAAGATGCGTCATGATCAGTATGTCCTAAGGTTCGTCCGTCAGGTGCCTTTCTCCTAGCAGCATTCACTTGGATCTTGCAAGTGGGAGCCACGAGCACACCGGGATACCTTCACCCAAACGATGTAAACTTGAAGGAGAGAGAGGACTGTTGAAAAGGCTTGCTACTTGCAAGGTGTTGGCACCTCCATGGAGAGATGTCCACTTGCTGATCCTTAGAGCTAGCAACTATCCTACATACGAACAGTGATCACTTCGCTCGTTCAGACGGCTCCTCAAACCACAAGAGGCCTTTAGGATGTCGAAACTTCTCAGCTTGGGCTTTGCCTTCGCACAAGTGCGCGAAAGGATGTTTGAGGGTCCATCTGCGACCGAAGACCACCGAGCGCAAATCACCCGAGCAGGGCGAGCAACTGCAACAATAACTTGGCAACACTTACTAAGAATACCGACTTGTCGAGTCAATCGGTGTCGTGAGTCGTGGGAAGTCGCTCACATGCTCACAGCGTCACTGCAGGCGCTGATGCTGCGCACCTCGGTCAAGCCAAAATCTGCCGGAAGCGCACCACATGAGCTGTCACGAGCTGTCCAGGAACTGTTTCGAGACCTGGCAAAGCGCGTCCCGTTTAAGGGCTCCGGCACGCACGCCATCAGTGCAGGCTGGCCTGCAAGTCACTGTGGGGGGAAGACTACTGGTGGCGCATGTCTGCATCCGGGCACATGGCGACCATATCGGTGCTTTGCTCCTGCAGTGCCTCATGCAGTGCCTGGTGAAGTGCCTACGCAGTACTTCAGCATCCCATAGTACCCCATACTACCCCATAGTACCCCATAGTACCGCATAGCACCCCATAGTACCCCATAGCACCCCATACCCCAAACCCCCCCCTCAACCCCAAACCTCCCTAAACCAGAGTATCCCATGGCATCCCATAGTTTCCGGGAAAGAAAAGGGTAAGCCAAGGCTGGACCCGACCCACTCAAGGCCTCCGAGGTGCGCCGTGGGCTCTCTGCCTGCTTGGGGGCTGGCTGAATATCCAGCGTTTCGGGTTGAGGGTTTTAAGGTTAGGGAATACTGCACACGAAGTACAACACTCAAATTGGAGGTGTGCTGATCCTCTGGGGGTCTAGAACAGCATAGAACAGCTCAGAACAGCTCATACCGGCTGACACCTCCTCCGATGCATCTGCTGAGGTTCTAGGAAGCACGGGTTTTGGCGGCATGCCTGGGGTTTCATGCTCGGGCCGTCCGTGCCGTTCGTGGCGTCCCCTTCTGGGGGATCGTGTTGCCTTGCTGAAGCCAGGACAAATCTTCCAGCAAATCGGGGGCGCAAACAGGACTTCTTTGTAGCTGGACTGTAGCCTGTGGCAGTTTTTGCACACTATGTACCAGATCTCACCACCTTAGTCATCTTACCACAAAGGCTGATCAGACCGTATCCCTCCTTTGGCCCTGACGGTGTGTGTAGCGATGCGAAGCCCTTTGGCTCGCCTCGATGCACGAAAGAGAGCGCTTAGAGCTCTCCTAAGGCCTTAGGCTGGCTCTCTTAAGACTCGTCAGCTCTCTCTTCAGAGTCAACTTCTCCCGGGCTCTTCTGACTCTTATGACAGGTCGCTCTCTTCTTCGTCTCATTCTTCTTCTGCCGCGCGCGCATGACGCTCTCCTAGACTATCTGCGGTTCTTGATGAGTCTGTGCTCCTTCCTGCCTTCATCACTCGGAGCGGCTGGAGCTTTCCCCTGCGGGCCGCCTGATGAAAGGGCAAGAGAATGGCGAGCCGGTTTGTGGTCGAGCTCTGGGAATCGCCCGATGCGCTAGCACTCGAGTACAGCCACAGCATGAGTTGATACAGAGGCTGCATAAAAGATGCTGTACAACCTGATGATACCCGGAATAGAATGGAAGAGAACTACAGTGAAGAATCCGGTCGGTCCAACTCTGCCATGAAGTTGACCGCCCAAGAAGAAGTACCAGTCACTACTCAAGGAAACTCTGGCTCAGGGACTTCGCCATCTCCCCCCCCCCTCAAAGAAGAATTCCTGCATGGAGATAGCTGCGCTCAGGTCGGCAGATTCCTTTAAGCATTTTTGGACTTCCACGCATCCCTTCCCGACCCTTCTCGAACTTACACATCCCTTCTGATTCTCTCCCATTCAGACAAAGAAGCCAAGGACTTCGTTGGACTCCGTTGAATCCAACAGGCGTGGGGGGGGGGGGAACTCAAGTGATCGGGGAAACATTACATTGGTGTACCACTGGTCAGCTGCACATTTA